CGCGGTTTTGACAGTGCGGTTTTGTCACTGCGCTTTAGTCACACGCGCTTTAGTCTACCGCGGTTTTGTGGTGGAACCGTATTAGCTGTCTGGTTTTGGCTGTTTTTGTCATATAAAGTCAGGGGGGCTGCTACTGGTTCACCCAGGTTCTGGAGAACCTGTAGCTAACGGTATGGCTGGTTTGGAGAACCTCCAAATCCCACCCTTGGCTGGCCCCACCCACCTCTCTCCACCCCTCCCACCCTGCCCCTCCCCTCCCAGGAGTCTCCATGCGGCCCATTTTGGATGCAAGGTAAATGCAGGCCCACACGGAGGCTCAGGGAGGGGGGGGAAAACAGGCCTCCCAGAAGTTCCAGAAGGCTGGAAACCGGCTGGAAGTGTTTCCAGCCTCCAGAGGGCCTCCAGAGCCCAAGGGAGGCACTTTTCATCGTCCCAGAGGCTTGAGGAAAGCTGAAATTTAAGGAGTATAGACTGAAAATAACTCCATTGTTATGCTTCTCTTCTACTGAGCTGGGCATACCTTTAGTTTGTATGATCTATTTTACTGGATTTGTCAGCTAGAAGGTTAGCAGTTTGAGGCCCAAGCATCTTGTAATGGGCTCAGGTCTCATTTTTGCCCCACCTCCTGCCAACCTAGCAGTTCAAAAGCATGCAAATGCAAGTAGATCAATAGCTATAACTTCGGTAGGAGGTGTTGGCCACATGACCACAGAAGTATCTTTGGAGAATGCAGTCTCCCTCCGCTAAGAAATGGAGATGAGCCCCTAGAATCATACATGACTGAACAGGGAAAACCATTATCTTTTATTTTACCTTTGATCATATTTTTCCTATATTAGAGACAGAGTCATGTTAAAAATAGGAGCTAGGGAAGGAAGATACCAATTTGGAATGTCTCTGAACTAATGCTCTTTCCCTAAAAACATGGAACCAACAACTGGGCTTATATACAAGCCAATCCCTATCTGAGTAGGGACCACTATTGTTAGAAATATTGCATTAAAAAATCTGAATGTGTACCATTACCTATTTCTTCCCAATCATTCTTTCTAACTCCTCACAGATAAAATGTTAGCAAACAAAAAAGAAAAGTTCTAAACAACCTGCTCCTTGCTTCTACTTGTAGTAGGACTTTGTTTGCATTGGGGAATCTTCAAAAGCCCTACATGATCTAGTCCAGTGGTAGTCAACCTGGTCCCTACCACCCATTAGTGGGCGTTCCATCTTTCATGGTGGGCGGTAGGAGTTTGCTGTAACTCTGCTTTATAAATTTTATAACGTTACTTCCCTACTTTATAAATCACCATTACTGTGGAACCAGTGGGCGGTTAGAAA